TTTGTTTCGACTGTTTTGTATTTTTGGTTTGACAGGGTTTGGAAACGGTTAAACAACATTTTCACGCACATTGAGATAGAATAAACTAGTAGTGTATGGCATCGTGCTTGAAGGAAAATTGACTTTTTTGAATTTTTTTTGATAACTTTGATTTTTTTTGAAAATTTTTGACCTATTCAAGAAAATTGATCCGGTCGAAAATGTCGAAGACGTGTGTTTACATTAAACATAGTACATCTTGTTACAGAACCCATAGAAATGGAAACTAGTGGAGCGCATGGCATGGTGCCTTAAGGCAAATTGCTGGAACTTTCCTAACCAAAAATTATTTTTTTAAAAAAAAGATTAACATTTTTGAAAAAATTTTACTTTGAAAAAATTAGATTTTTGAGAAACTATAATTATTTTTTTTGAAAAAAAAAAGAAATAAAATGTTTTCTTTATTTTAAAATATTTTGGAAATTCTGAACTTTTTTTCAAAGCAATCGTACTGCTTTAACTGCATAGAGGAGAAATATCGAAGCGCGTAAGCGCCGCGTCGCCGTCTAACGGTTGAACATTAGTACGGAACCCATAGGAATGTAAACAAAATTTATACTTATTGTTAAAATCTCTATAAAATATCTGATAATACGATGTGCATATGTCTAATGATCATTTTTAACCGCCAAATGGCGTTTTTTTTTTCATTTTTTTTGTTAGATCTCCGAAACTTATGTTTTCTGAATCAGCAAATCGGACGCTCCGTTATCCTAAAAACTACCATTTTTGGAACTTTTCATTTTCGATTTTTGGACGATTACTATAACTTATCCCTAAGGGAATGTTAAAAAATTGTTTTATTTTTGAGAATTCTAATTGTTTTCGAACATTTTTGAAAATCTTAAAAAATTTGAAATTGTTGCAGAAAACAGAAATACACTTTTGAAAATCATGCGTTCTTAAAAAATTTCAAAAAATTCTTCAGAGAATTTAGAACATTTGAAGAATTTTAATATTTTTAAAAAAATTGAAAAAATATTATGATTTTTTTTTGACAATTTTTCGAAAAATTTGAAATTTTGAATTTGATTTTTTTCAAAACTCTGTAATCATATAACGTTTCGTTAAAATCGCCAAATTTTATTTTGAACAGTTAATTACCAAAAACTAAGAGGAAGCAGCACGATTCTCAAATGGTATATTTCGAACAATATTTGAATTTTCGAATTTATGACGTAAGTTTGTGAAAAATTTGAACTTTTTTTGCAAATTGCAAAGAAACAGCTCGGCTGATCGTTAGTAAAACTAATAAACACCAGTCCTTACCGAGCTTCCTGGAATGGTTTTAAACAGTATTTTATCTCCATACGAAAATCGATCCAAAAATACTTTCTCATCAAACATTCATCCATACTTTTACCTCCACTTGGCATTTTCTATACTACAGCCGCCCAAGTCTGTATATTTTATTAAATAGCTGTATTTATCGTAAAAACGGGTTATCGTGTTATATTGATTGTGGATCATTGATTAACGCCATCGAATGCTCTTCGACATGAACGAATTCGTAAATAAATCATCGTCATAGGAAAAGATCCATATTACAACATAAATATTATCAATTATTTAACTAGAGGGGTAGAAGAACATTTTCTGAACAAAAACGTTAAAACTTATTTACCGAAGGAGAAGTATATGATTTCACCAGAAAATCCGATTTGCACATTTTATGTCTATTCTATGTTTCAGTTAACAGACCAATGTCATGGCAAGGCTGTGTTATGAAGAATTGGTCCCTAAATTAGTATCGATATGATATTTTCTTCGATTTCTTAATCAAATATTTTCTTCTATGTCTGCCAATTTTGTGATCCAAATATATTATTAGAATCGTTACACTTTATGCATAAATATTTTAATTTATGCATCGATCAATTCGCAACGTCTAAATATGGTCTCATTTTAACGAAATGATATTGCAATACAGGTGTCATATTATGACTCACAGAATGTTATGTCTCACAGAATTCTTTGAAATATTAGACGTTAAAATAATTATAACCCAAACTTTGGATAAGACGTACCTGATAATGATAAATATTTGTATACTTGTACGATGGAAATATTGTATGCATACGCACAGGGGTACCAGAACGTAACGTCAGGCCGAAAGGGGATGAAACTAGTGGTGCATTGCATCGTGCCTTAAGTGACAAATTAAAAAAAAGACTTATTAAAAAAAACTTTGCAAAACTTTGAAAAAATTAGATTTTTTAGAAATTTTGAAGTTTTTGAAAAAAAATGACTTTTTTGAAAAATTTGATTTTTTTATATTTTGATTTATTTTGAAATTTTTGCGTAAAAATTGGTACGGTGCACTAAATTTGTACTTATTATTATAATCTTTATATATTTTTATATAAAATATCTGATAATACGATGTACATTGTTCATTTTTGACCGCCAGATGGTATTATTTTTTACTTTTTTTATTCGATCTCCAGAGATGCTGGACCTGCCTTCCCAAAAATTTCCTCAGTTCTTCATTTCGTCAAAACAAGTAAAATGTTTTTTGAATTATTTAAATCAGACACTCCGTTATCTCAAAAACTAAAATACCATTATGGGCACTTTTTGCCTAGTATCTCCGAAACGGCTAGACCTGCCTTTGCTAAAAACTAATCAGCGCGTCTCCTTATCCGTAGGAATCGAATGTTTTTGCAATTATCCAAATCGGTTGATTTGTGCATGCGAAATCGTCGACAAAAATTTGTATCCGCATACACACACGCGCGCTCACACACATCACATACATCAATTTTTTCTAAGTATGCCATATTGTCAAAAACTTCTGAAACGTAAAGATATATAAAAATTTTCATTTTCGATTTTTTTGCGATTTCTATATCTTACTCTACGTGAAGTTAAAAAAATTACAAAAAAATTATTCCACAAAACTTAAAAAATCATCGGTGAAGATTTATTTCTTGGACACCCAGTATGTTTGAACATATTTCCATTTTACAATTATACAAATATTTATCAATATCTGGTACGCAAAATCGTATTAAAGCTTCTAGTTAAAGACTATTTAAAGATTTTCAATGCACCAAGAGGACATTTATATTTAGGTTTATTGTTTTAGAAACTGGAATAAAGCCACGGTAACGAATTGCAAAAATTCCAATCATACCAAGATAGATAGGACAGAATTAACACGCTTATTATCAATAAACAATTAATTCTAATTATTGAAATACAATTTAATTTACACAAAACTATTTCTTACAAGAAAATTCTACTTTCAATATAAAAGAATTAGAATAGTTTCGTAGTAACCTTTTGGCTTAGCATCCTACTCGTTTCGGATTTTATTGAATCAAGCTGTAGTGATATCAGATAATTACTTAAAATTTACAGTTCTATCATATGGTAACAAATTAGTTATGTGGTATTCAAACACAAGCGTCAGTGCCATTAACACAAAATTCTCCTGGTTTCTTACATAACTCGAAAATGCAGCTTGCCGACCCGGATACTTTGGCGCCGGGTCGACACATCTGATGTAGTTGCTATTACGAAACACAGGTACAAAACTGACTGTGAAACATCTTTAGCCTAACAATAACATGGTCTTATTGTTATAAAGAACTATTATAGCAACTATAGCAAAACGAAATTTGTAAATATGTATTTAATTATAGAATTTTCAAGCATTTTGGTACAAATTATTTGATTGATTTGGAACATTCTATATCGTTCAAAATATTTTGTGCAGCCAACTCGTTGTCTTTTCCAATTCAATTCTTTTCATAAATTGTGCTAATAAAGTGATAATTTTTACAAGTTTTACGAGCTATCATATATAAATATCACAATCATATGCAACTTTGTTAATTATTCACTCCGTCATACACTTCTACTGAACTACATTAACTATGGTATAAAAGTATAGTTTAGAATTAAAAAAAAATACAATTTTTTCAGTACTTAAAATACCATTTTTGGACTCAAACAATTTGTCGTAGACCCATATCGTATGATTAAGACCATGATCACTATGATTATAACAAGTTCATCAAAACGTGATTTTTTTAAACGAATTAATTAGGAATAAATAGCCTAGCGATTTATTCGATTTTGAATAATATCTTTTCAAAATATGAGGTCAGGTTTCTTAATTATTTTTCTGTACTCACGCTTATGTAAAAATTTTAGTTTTTTGTTCAGAAGCTTCGGAAAACATTATTTCCAAACAATTAGGGTGGTCCTTAATATGGATATTTTTGATTTTTTTGGCTCCCAGAGGCTCAAATGCTTCCAAATTAATTAAAAATAAATCTTTAAAAATTTCAGCTCTTAATTTACATTTAGATAATCTGCAATTAAATTAAAAATTTCGTATATTCATTATTACCATACATTCTTGCGCCATTTGTGATAGCATTTGTGAACTCAAATATTATGAAACTTAAAAATATTTATAAATCACTTAACCTCTAATTAAATCTATGTGGGCTGTTTAACGAAATATTTATTCATCATGGGATCAAAATTAATTTTGCAGAAAAATACTTATTTAATTGGTGATTTTGAGATTCAAATTATCAGTAATAAATTGTCATCAAAATTACACAGATGGCGCAAGAATTTTCTTAATGACGCATGTTAATGATAAATATACGAAACTTTTAATTCAATTGCGGATTATCTAAAAGTTAATATTAAGAGCTAAAACTTTTAGATTTTTTTTTATTACTTTGGAAGCGTTTGAGCCCTTGGGAGTAAAGAAATTCAAAAATGTCCATATTAAGGACCACCCTATATATGTATAATTATATTTCTATTATTAAAACTGCCAATACACCGCGTGTAAAAATTTATTAAATGAAAACATTCATGTTCAAAAAAATTTATACAAAGTATCAAATTTTTATATAAAAACTATCAAATTTTTTTCGCTCGATTTCTACCAATCAATTTTTATGTCAAAATTTTCCTTCGGATTATGTTGTAAATTAAATTTCTGGTTTGCAAGAACATTTGAAGTCTTCGCTGTCGAATTCGCAAGTGCAGACTCCTGGTTCGCCTTGTTTTGTTTGGCAGGAGCAGATCTTCAACTGGTCTAAGAACTCTTCGATGTTCTTGTAGTCCCTGAAAAATGATTGATGAAAATTAGTATGTATTTTTGAAGTAAAACTTCTTTAAGCCCGACTTTCGTAAGCTCTGATTCGTCATTGGTTTAAGGGGTAATTCGATATTTTTGGTCAATTATTGGCAAACAAATAAGGGAAGGATAATTGTCATGATGAAATTAAAACGTCAAATAAAATTTACCAAAAATTGCATATTTTTGAAGAGAGTCTAAAATAATTTTACCTGTGCAACCATTCCGAAGTGATTTGGATTTTCTCAAAGGCCTGGTCTAAAGTAGCCTTTATGCCAGGAATATCATTGTCCTGGAAGAACTTCTCAATCTAAAAAATTGAAAAAAAAATGCTGAGGATTTAACTCGTAATGCAAAATGACGTGGATGCTATAGCATTCAAATTTTACAGTCAATTATTATGAATTTTATTCTATATAACCTTTATAACGTTTTTGTACTTATCAAACCTGACAAAGTGATAACTAAGATATTTTCATATTATCTTTGCTATTGAACAAGCGAAATATAGAAGCGCAATACTTGACGTGGATGCTATAGCATTCATCTAGTATAAGACGATTAAAATGTGATAATGGTATTTTCGTATTATTTTGTCTTTTCCCGTAGGAACTAATTATCTTGTGCAAATAAATTTCGGATAATAGAAGCGCAATACTTGACTTGGATGCTATAGCATTCATCTAGTATATAACGATTAAAATATCATAGTAGTATTTTCGTATTATATTATCTTTTCCCGTAGTCACTAATTATCTTGGGCCAATAAATTTCGGAAAAACAAGCTCAAACCTGACGTAGATGCTATAGCATTCATCTAGTATACAACTATTAAAATATGACATTCTGACTAATGACACTTTTATTGATTACTTTTCAGTTGATAGTGTTGATACTGCATCTTTTTTCACAGTCACTAATTTGACGTGGATGCTATAGCATTCTTCTAGTATATAACGATTGAAATAAGATAATAGTATTTTCGTATTATTTTATCTTTTCTCGTAGTCACTAATTACCTTGGGCGTGAAATACAAGCGCAAAACTTGACGTGGATGCTATAGCATTCATCTACTACATACACGATTAAAATATGATATTATTTTCGTATTATCTTATCTTTTCCCGTAGTCACTAATTACCTTGGGCATCCAAATTGCGTAAAATGGAAGCGTAATACTTGACGTGGATGCTATAGCATTCATCGAGTATATAACGATTAAAATATGATAATAGTATTTTTGTATTATTTTATGTTTTTTAATAGTCACTAATTACTTTGGACAAAAAAATTCGGAAAATAGAAGCACAATACTTGTCGTAAATGCTATAGCATTCATATAGTATATAACGATTGAAATATGATAATAGTATTTTTGCATTATCTTATCTTTTTCCTTTAATAATAATTAATATACCTGCTTGCCCTTATTTGGGCAGGAGAATCCTGCACAAATTGCAATAATGATTTCGTGCATACTTGTACCTGCACCGAAAATCTGTTTCAATTTTTCAAAGTTTTCCTTGAATACTTTCCATGCTAATGTACGGCCCACCTGAAGAAGAAAATCGAATAAAATTTATTTATCATAAAACATAACCTCCAAAACGCACAAAGGTGGAATATCAATTTCATACAAAGGTGAATTATCAATTTTATACGAAGATTGATATATAGATTTATCTGAAAATTGGACACTTATTGTTGCCTATAAGACAGTAAAATTGTAAAAAACTGTGTAGCCTGGTTTTTCTACCGGAATTATTAGTTTTATATAATTTTTTTTATTATTACCTGTGTTTGGGAAACACTTTGCCAAATGTAGACCTTGTCCGGTGTCCTGATATCGTCTGTAAAACTGAAATCCAAAGCCCTTTGCAACATATCCTCACAAGAGGAATTTCCCATCGCCACAAGTATTTTAGTTCGTTCAGCCTGTAGAAAATAATATTAATAATAACAATAATATATATATATTCTATATATAAAAATAAGTCGGGTTTTCCTTCCTGACGAAATAACTCCAGAACGCACGAACCGATTTCGACAATTTTGCATTCGTTGGAAAGGTTTATAGCTAAGAAAATTAGAGGTGCATGGCATCGTGCCTTAATGCAAATTGCTGGAACTTCATGTACCGTAATTAAAGATTCGAGTATTGACATTAGTGAGAATTATCAGAATTATGCTTGGCCAAGTCAACGAACAATTCTTGCCGCAAAGAATAATGATGCACACGCACTGATTTTCACCATTCAATCAAAAATTGCTGGCGATTTGGTGACATACCAATGATTCCGACTGGTCTTCCGTTTGACTTCAAACGATTGCAATTTCCAGTTCGCCTCGCATTTGCAATAACAAGTCGCAAGGCCAATCGCTTAGTGTTTGCGGGATAAATTTCAAATAGATTATTTAGAAAATCATTGTTTTTCACATGGGCAGTTGTACGTTGTCTGTTCACGAGTTGGAAAACCATCCGCTTTGTTTGTGTTAACGTCAGACCCAAAAAACAAAAAATGTGGTTTACCAAAGATCATTTCCATGAAACGGATAATTTGCGGATTCACATTCATTTACTTAGAGAAGTTCAACTAAAAAACACTTCATTTTTGTAATCGAAATAAATGCATTACTGTTGTGCGATAAAATCATATTTTTCCTTTTCAAATATAAAACAAACAAAAAATTTCTTCATCTTTCTCACGAAAACATCTGGTGGCGAAACGGAGTTCGTCGGGTTTGCTAATGTATATATATATATATATATATATATATATATATATATATATATATATATATATATATATATAGTATGAATAAATGAATTCTTACTGGGTCTTTTTCCTTTCGATACAAATTAACCAATCTGTCGAACACGTCGTCGTCGGCGTCGGACATGACGGCAAGATACATCGGAAGTGTTAAGTCCAGATTTACATTCACGCTTGTTCCTCTCTGTTTTTCCTGGAACCTAAAATAATAAAAAAAACTAGTTGGTATTGGTATTTTCCCTTGAGGCAAGTGAGAAAACGTCGATTTACGGCAAAAAATCTGTTCACACACGCGCGCACACGCACACACACACATAATTTGGCCCGATTCGATTCAGAATGGCTTGAAACGTCGAGAAAACATAAAATTAGCAAATCGGATTTTATGATGAAAACATAAACTCCTTTGCGAAGTTAATAAACAAATAAGATATAAAGCCCTTTGAAATAAACTGACTATTCAGTTTAATGGCGAGTCGTGATAATATTCAAAATACTTGTTTATATGATAAAACGACCTAAAGAGACATTTGTTTTAAGGGATTGTGATATTTACAGTTTAAATGGTTCAGAGAATTTTAAACTTAAGTGTGACATGTGAGTCCGAAACAGAACATCGTGAAATATCTTGGTCTCCATTTAGACAGCAGACTTACTTGGAAAAGCCACATAAAAACAAAAAAGTAGCAAATAATGATCAAAATGAAAGAATTTGATTGGCTACTGCGTAAAAAGTCTAAGCTCTCTGTTGAAAATAAGTTGCTGCTATATAAATCAATCATTAAACCAATCTGGACCTACGGAATTGAGCTCTGGGGATGTGCTTACAAATCAAATATAGCTATAATGCAGAGAACTCAGTCAAAAATTTTACGTACAATTCTTAATTCTCTGTGGTACGTAACAAATGAAACCATTCACAGCAACTCAACATGAAAAACGGTGCAATTAACGTTCAAAGAATTCAAGGAAAAATACAAACGCAAACTGGATTCAATATTCATTGAAACGACAATGGTCTTTAGACTTAGTCTTACTTATTAGATTAGGTCTAATAAAATATTATCATATTAATTGTTAAACTGAGAAGATCTCATTGGAGCTCTTCTTGGGCATCGCTCTTAAATATTGTCAATTTAGCTCATAGGAATCTTCATGTATTTCTGATTGCTAAATAAAACGTGTTAAAAAAAAAGTGTGACATGTATCCATTTTCTTATAAATTTTATTTCTATATTTACTTTTTCTTTGCCTGTTTGATGAGTTTTTCATCGCCCAATTGAATAAGTCGAGTTATGACCAATGACCTAAGAAGACCTGTGGCTTGCGACTCTTCTTCCTCGGTTTCGTCGGGATCCCATTTCATTTTGTGACGAATCTTGAAAAATAAATAATAAATTACTATAAAATCTCATCAGAATACACACACACTCATACACACATACACATACACACGCACATACACACACACACACACTTTTCCCTTAAATTTGGTCTCATTCGATTCAGAATGACGTGAAACGTCGAGAAAACCTAAAATTGGCAAATCGGGTTTTTTGATGAAAACAAATTTCTCCTTCGGTTAAAAACAATTTAGAATGTTTGACAAATTCCTAAGAAGTTTTACTTCAATTCAATACCTATATATATTCAAACGTTTTTATGCTGAAATTGTGTGGATGAAATCAAAATAATATTAAAATTGATATTTAATAAAAAAAATATTTGAAAAATTCCTAAAAAGTTTTACTTCAATTATGGCTAGTGTATATTTATTTTAACATTTTAAAGCCAAAGTTGTGTGGGTGAAACTTAATAAATTAAGTAATATTTAATAAAATCCATGTCGGACATTTAAAACAAGATTTCTAAGCGAAGTTCCTAAAAGTTTTACTTCAATTCTATACCCATATTGCTGGCTTATATACTCAATTGCGATTTGCATTAAAAACCGGGAAGTAATTTATATGTAGTTTTTTTATCACCTTCGCGGACGTGAATGCTATAGCATTCATTTTTATTGTGATACGTGGATGCTATTACATCCAAGGCAGTTATAAAACCTTACGTTTTTGTAGTTATACCTGTCGTGGTACTTGACGTGGATGCTATAGCATTCATCTAATATAAAACGATTAAAACATGGTAATAGTATTTTTGTGTTATCTTGTGTTTTCCTTTAGTCACTAATAATAATAATTGCGGAAAATAGAAACGCAATACTTGACGTGGATGCTATAGCATTCATCAACGATAAAAATATGATAATAGTATTTTTCGTATTATCTTATCTTTTCTAGTAGTCACTAATTATCTTGGGCAAATACCTGACGTGAATGCTATAGCATTCATCTAGTATAAAGCGATTAAAATATGATAATGGTATTTTCGTATTATTTTATATTTTTTAGTAGTCACTAATTACTTTGCCAAGCACATTGCGGAAAATACAAGCGCATTTTTTGACGTGGATGCTATAGCATTCATCTAGTATATAACGATTGAAATATAATAATCTGACTTGTGAAACCTTTATCGGGCGCGAACGTGTTAACGTGCAAGATTACTTTTCAGTTGAAAATGCATCTTTTTCCATAGTCACTAATTTGACATGGATGCTATAGCATTCATATAAGTATATAATCTGACTAACTGAATCTTTTACTGGGCGCGAACGTGTTAACGTGCAAGATTACTTTTCAGTTGAAACTTCATCTTTTTCCATAGTCACTAATTTGACGTGGATGCTATAGCATTCATCTAGTACATAACGATTGAAATGTGATAGTAGTATTTTCGTGTTATCTTATCTTTTCCCGTAATCACTAATTACCTCGGACAAGCACTTGGCGTAAAATAGAAGCTCAATACTTGACGTGGATGCTATAGCATTCATCTAGTATTAAACGATTAAAAAATATGATTACGTAAATAAAATAGAATATTCTGAATATCCCTTAAGCAAATTTCGGACATCAAAACCAAATAAAAACTAAAATTACAGTTTTTATCTTTCGCTAATTTTTTTTTCTTACAGTTGAGAAGAGAGCTTTGCAAAACTCCTTGAACCTCTCGTGATAATTCGTGTGTTGGGTCAAAGCCAAAAATTGTTCTATGCAGTTGTTGACACAACACCAAACAGAATACTCATCATCGTGCATGTAGACCTCCATTAGACGCAAAACCTAAAAAAAAGAAAAACAGTTGGATATCCTACTACCCTTAATAAATCCTTTATCCTCACATCACCAATATCGATCCTCCCAGCTTTTTGCGATGGCAAACATGTCGTTTAAAATATGCACCCTGTCCGGTGCATCCATGGACCTGTCTTTGATCGCCGGAATAAATGCTTCGATCATATATTGTGGGTAATGAACACGATAGAAATCTCGGTTGCTGGGGTTGAATTTTACCCAATCCTTGCAGCCACAATTTGGCACCAGGACCGGCACCACTCTGGTGTCCATTATTGTGAGAAACTCGGGCTAGGTAAAGGAAAATTGATGGTTAATGAAATAGTCGATTTGGTACTAAAAGCTGTGAAAATGTCTGTCTATTTGCCGTGCGATCTGGCGTATTTTACATATAAACGAACCTAGAAAGTATGGAATGCAATACCGGTATACCGGTAAACCGCCCGACTTTTCGGCGGTATTTTCACCGGTATTTACCCCAAAAATACCGGTATTTTCGGTATTTTTACATAAGCGCTATTTGATATATAATACACTAAAGTTTAAATTTCTCGGAACAAATTTATCTTTGAATTCCATAATCGCATAAACAGCTATCTCTTCAAGTGATTCAATAGGATAAACAAATGTCAAATATAATCTCAACTCGTCATTAAACTGAATATTTATTGTTTTTTTAAGAGCTTCATATCGTGTTACAACAAATAGAATTGGACTGATAGATAATGATGTTTGTTTCATCTTATGTGAAAATGTAACGGTTTTTTAAAGTGATATTTGCGCCAAAATATTTTATATCACATAGTTTACCTCTGCGTAATCTTTAATTTTTTCTAGCTTTATACATAATAATTATGATAATTACTAAATATTTTTGCTTCTTATTACAATTATAAAATATTATTTTTTGAAAATGTTTTGAAGTTTGAAAGTACTATAGAAGCATCACATTGTTTTAAGTAACAATATTCAACAATTATAGTAACTTATTATTTATCTTGACAAAGAATCCGATCTTAAATTAGTGCAGAAAATTATTTTTTTTAAATATTGGAGATTATGCTAATTTAACACATCGGATACAGACAATACAGTTTATTATAATAATGTAATATGATCTTTCATGAGTTTTTGGTCTTTTTACTTATAAGCTTATTTTTGGTGAAAAGTACTCAATATACTCGATAATGACAATGAATTAATTAAATTGGATATAATTTTGTTAAATTATTATTTAAAAAAATAAACTTATTA